GAGTCTGGAGGACGAGTGGAGAGGCACAGAATCCAAGTTGCTTGTAGTCCAATGTGAGGTTTCCACAGTCAGTGATGATTTGGAGTGCCATGTCATCTGCTGGTGATGATCCGCTGTGTTTGATCAAGTCCAGAGTCAGTGCAGCATCTACCAGGAGATTTTACCTCACTTCATGCTTCCATCTGCTGACAAGCTTTACTGAGATGCTGATTTCCTTTTCCAGCAGGAGGCACCTGCCCACAGGGCCAAAACCACTAGTTACTGGTTTGCTGGCCATGGTGTTACTGTGCTTAATTGGCCAGCCAACTCACCTGATCTGAACCGTAATAGAGAATCTATGAGCTGTCAAAAGTAAAAGTAAGAGACACCAGACCCAAAATACAGAAGAGCTGAAGGTCGCTATGAAAGCAGCCTGGGCTTCCATAACACCTCAGCAGAGTCACAGGCTGAGTGCCTCCATGCCATGCCGCATTGATGCAGTAATTCATGCAAAAGGAGCCCTGACCAAGTAGCCTACTAAGTACATAAATAAACCTTTTTCAGAACTTTTCAACTTTTCAAAAGGTCAACATTTCTGTATTATACATTCTTTATTTTAATATTCTAATATTTTTGAGATATGGACTTTCTGCATTAGCTGTACGCCAGAATCATCAAGACTAACAAAAAAAGGCTTGCATATTTCAATTTATGTGTAGGCCTAATGATTCAAGAATATATGAAAGTTTCACTTTTTGACTTAAATTACAGGAAAAAATGTATAACTTTTCAAAGATGGAATTAGAAATGGAAATAAATAATGTACCTCAGTTTGTATTTAAGTACAGTACTTGAGTAAATGTGGTTAGTTGAAATCCACCACTGGACACTACTTTTAACTGTCTATATGAGTTAAGTTAAACTGGCGTCAAAGTAATACTGACTATTTTTCAGTCAAGAAGATGATTGATGAATTGATGTCATCTCTGTGGCAATATGAGGATGCAGCCACAAGGCGGCAGCAGAGGCGTTTGTATCACACCCTGTGATTTTAAAGACTCCCGCTGGTAAGCAGGGTAAAAAAGAACACAGGGGAGTCTGCCTGCTTCTCATTAAATGTAAGTTACACCATAAATAATCCAATCACTGTGGCAAAAAAAATAAAAACATTGCGTCCTCTTGTCTTCATCCAGCTGCAGTCGATGACATGTTTTCCCGTTTGGTGTCGATTTATATCTTTCTGCACACATGAATTCACTGAGTAGGTGGTTTACAAAAAATAATTAATCAATAATAAGAACCACATAAGCTCATGTAGGCGTACGTTTTTTTTTTCTTCTGATTGACCTCTTGTTAGTAACCATACAAACTCTTTGCGCTCTAGCAAAAAACGGATGAATTTTCTAATAGCTCTTTTGTTTGTTTTATATTTTTCAGTAGCATTTTTCAAAGAATAGTATTGGCTTTAAGTGGCCCCAATTTGGAAACACCCAGGATACATTTTCTGATCTGAGTGGGTGTTTCTAAAGACAGCATACATTTACTGTATCCTGCTGGAGAGAACTATGGGATTCACAGCTGATGAATGCATATTTAAAGAGATTTATCAGGAGGTTTGCGCTCACTATAACATTGTAACAAATTGTAATAAGATTTATATAGGTTAACATTCATGTTAAACTTTCATTCATTAAAAACGTCCAGCATAAGGCCTATAAGCTATGGAATTCAAATAGGCCTAAAGTTGGAAATCATGGGCCTTTATGTGTTCGATTATGTCTGTCTTTTTTCACACAATAGTTCATACAGCTGAGTTTTTTGCAGTTAATCATAACAGATTCATAGGCATTGGAAATGGTAATTAGACTACGAAATCTTAGTGGATAGGCTATGAATCTTTCCTAAGGTCAGACATGCACAGTTGTTTCCATTATTTCTCCAAATTATTTGAAATTACGTTGTTTGATGAGACTAGATTTTATGGCAGGTGTCAGGGCTGCAGGTCAGAAAGATGGGACTGTTTTCTCAGAACGAGATATGCATGTTACATTCTGCACCACACAGGGAAGACACTTTGATCTGTTCATTAGTTTAAGTTAAAGTAGGCCTATGTCGGGGAGATCAGATAACAAGAGCCATTTTAGGCCTTAAAAAGCGTCATTGGCTTTTGAAAGCAGATTCTTTTGGTCAGCCTGGGGCTATGTGGCTTTGGGGGTGGAATTACATCATACTGAAATTTCCTCACGTCTTTTTTACTTTAGCCTGTACTGTGACTTTTTGATTATTTTGTTACTCAACCATGGCAGATAATTATGAGATTAACTATAATTCTATCCCGGTTAAAGGTTTTAGCCTGTTGGTCGCATATTAATCTTACCTTGTTTTAAAAAATATAGGCCTAAAGGCCTGTGTGCTCCTTTTCGCAGCTCAAACCATTTTAGAGAGCATGCTGCTTTACATAAAACATAATAAAAGCGGGGTTTCATCTAGAAACTATAGATTGTTTTGATTTATCCCGCTCAGGTGTGTTATACTGTGGCGCATGCGCACTGCACGACCGTCAGGTGAAGTCGGCATCGTAAACCTCTCTTGGTTTCACTCATTCGCTGAGTCTCAGTGGGATTGCTGTGACTGGAGCCTTACAGATGTCTTTACTGGAGAGGATAGACTGGAGGGTGAGTTTATTCGTGTATTTTCCTGTTACAGCTGACTTACTTTAAGCCAACCAGCATCATGTTTATCGCTTTTTGCTGCTGAGCCTATATTTGTTTATTGCTTTTCACCATAATCACCTGTTTGTAATCGCGCAGCGCCGTATGCGCTTTTGAGTAACCCGTGATTAATGTCGAGAAGGCCAAGGCTTTGTTCTCTCAAAAACTTCGAGTAATTTGATTTGAGGCTACTGGATTAAAACGCTGTAGTGCTGTTTATGGTCGAAACTGAAATAGACTTTGAAATAGACTTTCAATAAATGTAATTACTGGGCATATAGCCTATTTGTTTTTTCTCTCTTTTGTTATTTCTACAACACAAACATATTTATTTAATTATTTATTTTTGATGAAATTGCAGCATGTCGCCTCAGTGAAAATAGTCCTGCAAGACCATAGAGAAATCATAAGTAAATCAAATAAAGTTAAAGGCATTACCCTCACCACTGAGTAGGCTAATACAAACATAGGGTAACATACATGTGCATATAGATCATTTACAGTATCACAGTGAACTTTATAAGGGGCTATGTGGTCTTTGTTGATATTCTAAATAAAAGGAGATATAAATCAGATAGGTTATAGATAAGCCTTATAACAATTGTTTTATATTACAGTATTTATGGACACATATCTAGCCTATAGAAACGTAATAAAAAGTCACTAAGTAGAACTCCCTAATTGTGTGAAATTTAATTTTTTTCCGGCCGTGGATCCCTTTAAACCTTAGCCTACACCTGACATCAGCTTAGTCGGTTGTCACTGCAGTCGACTGTCATTTAAAATGGCAAGCTTATAGCATCAGCATTGTACGGAACATCACGGTCAGGCCAAGCGTGACTAACTTCCTTTAGGTCTGCTCCGCGTCTCTTCCAACGTGAAGTAGGCCTAACATTTAATCAGCGCGCATTTCACTTGTGCTCCGCATCACAACAAGCCCAAGACCAACTCGCAAAAAAAGATAATCCTCAGTCGCCCACGTCCTGTTGTTCCCATGCACAGCCGATCACCGCAGCATCCACCACATGGCTGTTATCCTAAAAGACAAAGGTCCGTCCAATAATCTCACAAATTATAATCTGACATTTTAATAGGGGTACTAAATATGACTTCAAATTACATTACAGTACTTTCTGTTGCGGAAGGAGATATTTCAAAATGCCGAATTTGAAAGGTTTAACGGCAACAATAAAACTGACTAACGAAATAACGAAAAATCTTTACAGTTAAAAAAAGAAGAAGGGGGAAAAAACATCTTTGTCCTCACCTTGGGATTTGGTGCATATCAAAGCTTCAAAGCAGCCCCTGTTTTGGACATTGCAAAGCTCCACCAAAAATGTAAATTCTGTTAAGAAAGACTTGTTTGTTGAGATCCTTTGAGCTTTAGAGGTTTTTGAGAGACTGATGCTGCTAAACCCCCGGGCTTACTGCGGTTTGAAACAAGCACTTAACCACCACTGTGAAACACCTAGGCTACATTAAAATGTCATGGGTTCTTTTGAATGCCTATTATTCTATTTTAGCATTCAAAACGCAGAGATATACTATCTTGATATCTTGCTCATTTTGAGTCGGTAAACACGATGAGCACAAGTTTAGTTTAGTCCAGGCATGCATAAGGAACATATAGAGGCTATTATTCCACTATAGGCCTACTTCTAATAACAGTAAATGCAAATACCATCACTGCGAACAATAATAATTATAATAATAACAACCATAATAATAGGCCTAATGCTAAGAATATAATGTTAAAACAACGATTAAGATCAAAATCACCTTTGGTTGTCTGGAAGTCGGCCACAGCAACAATCAACGTTGTGTTGGCTCAGACTCAAAATTAAAGAAAAGAAAACAAATGTTGTATTTTTACTCAACAAGAAGGGAAAATAAGTTGTTTCCTTAATAACTGGAGGAATATTTAAAAAACTATAACTTTGAATCTCTTTGTTAACCATGGATCTCAGTGTGTCTATGACTCAGAGCCTACAGGTATCCTCCTACACATTTTAAAGCCCTGTATTGTAGCCACTGAGCGGCCTTGAGGAGATAAAAACAACCTTGTAGGTGGTGGGAGACTTCAGTCACTGTAAGCCATGAGAAGTTGGCTATAGTGAAGTCCATAGGGTTTAAATGTCTGACGCTATACATACGGACAGAATTCTGATTGGACAGTTATCCCGCCAATCAGCAATATTTTCATTTTCCCTTTTCACTGACATCATCGCGCTGGGTGACGCCCACTCGGAGCGGCTGTGCAGATATAGTGCAGTGCTCGGTGTGCACCAATGAGACTGAACGTCGCTGTTTTGTCCATAAGAGGGAGTCAAGTTTCTTATATGCACCATTTTCGCCCGCTTCCACAACAGAACTACAGAGCACGTTGACCGGAGAGGGGGGTAATACTGCTTGACAACGATTATTTTCTCTCATAGTGGCTGTGGAAACTCATATCTGCGGTTGGATAGTCAGTCGGTCGGTCAGTCCGCCCCTTCAGCCTTCACCCACAACTTCGCCTCTTTGCCGCAGCTGAAGAACAAGGGGGTTCATGATCATCAGGAAGCTCTTAATTTATTCATACCTGGATTAACTCACAGGCGGCAATAGTTTTTTTCTTTTTCTTTTAGTCTTTTTTTCCCCTCTAACGGATAGTCTTTTTTCCCTCGTCTGTAAGAATGTTGTGGAAATTAGCCGACAACGTGAAATATGAGGATGACTGTGAGGTAAGTTTCGATAGAGATGCAAACAGGGGAAAGTTCCTTTTGACATCGAACAAAAGTTTGCCATTCAATGACACGCGCATGTCTATATGGTTTGATATGCGCCTTATAAGCTGGTGATAGTGATAAGATAAGATCAGTGGAGATAAAATGGAAATCCTAATCAGTCAGAATAACAGACCACAACAGGAGGACAAAAACGGCTGAAGTCAATTGTGTGTGTGTGGGGGGGGGGGGGGTTGACGCCTGTAACTGTAAAAGCAAGACGCAATTTTCAGAAGAAATAGATGATAATTACCTATTTCTATAAAAACAACAGTAATATTATGAAGCATAATAATAATAATAATTATTATAAGAAGAAGAAGAAGAATTAAAGTAGCCTAATTATAAGAAGAAGAAGAAGAATTCCAGACTTCTACTAGAGGCGACTACTAGCCTAAAATAAAATAAAAAAATTCAAAAACATATAGGCCTATTTTCCAAATGTTGCATAGTCTAATTTATAAGGCTACTTTATAGGGCTATAAGAAACACGTAAGGACATAATAATAAGATTTCAATAGCCAATTTAATTTAGACTAAATAATGAGGTAGGCCTAGATTTCTTTCCCACGCTAAAGAATAATATTAGGCCTAATAAATATAGGATATGTTCACATTAAAATTGTAGTTAAAATATATTCACTCTCTTCACTAAGAGTTTATCTTCAGTGGACATCATGCCACTACCTGCTATCTTGTTATGCCTCACAGCTGCCTTGTCTCTTCCGTCCCTCAGGAAAGGCACGACGGCAACAGCAATGGGAACCCCCGGCTGCCTCACCTGCCAGCGGTCAGCCAGCACCTCTACAGCCCTTCTCCGTCCCTCTCCCACTCGGGCAGTTCGGACTTCCAGCCCCCCTACTTCCCGCCTCCCTACCAACCCATCTCCTACCCGCAGTCCAGTGACCCCTACTCCCACCTCGGCGACCCTTTCAACATCAACTCCATACACCAGTCGCAGTCATCGAACCAGCAGCAGGCGTGGCCCGGCCGGCAGGGCCAGGATGGTCTCGTCGCCCACGGGAGGAGCGGACTGGCGAGTCAGATCCTGGGCCTAGAAGGAGGCTCGTCAGGGGTGAGGAGGGAAGGGTTCCGCCGGCCGGAGTTGCTGCCCCCACACCCGCACAGCATAGAGCCGTCGGTTATTGGCGATAACATGGGGATGCACGACATGGGGCACGGACTGGAGGATGTTCAAGTGAGTGGATTTGACTGAGATGATCTTTGAAATTACACTTTAGATGTGTGTGGCCATCGCTGAGGTGTGCGAGCTTGCTGGCATGCTGCATTTAGGCCAAATAATAGCCTACACTTTAGGATGCCATTCAAGCAGACATTAAAGCTAGTTAGCTTACAGGAACATTATTTTGGGAGATTAAAAAACAACCAAAGGCCACAACTAAGGCATATTTCCACACTGGATTGGAATATTACAGGGACAGCTGTTTTGTTGACTACCATTGATTGATATGCTTATTGCTGCTTCTGTTCTTTTTCATCAGAATGTAGATGACCACAGTATTATTATGGCAGATCAGACAGTCATCAAAAAAGGTGAGTTGCCTCCACAACTAATCTATAACTTTTAGTGCCAAAGGACCACAGCTTTGTTCATTTGAAAAGAAAGGAAAAACAAGTTTTGGAAAATGCTGCCTGGGGTACATGTGTCTTTGTATAACCAAATAAAGATGTAGTAATCACTGGCTGGAAATGTACTGTTAAAACAATATTTTCTTTTCTACATACTTCTATAGTGGCATGTCAGGACACTCAGTGCAAGAGTACAGCAAAGGAGGAGTCTTGTATTTGTACTTGCACTGCATACACTGATAATCCTCATATTCATGAGATGCACTTATCTAAGCTTGATATGATCCACAGCCTATTCTGTTGGTGAAGGTGTTGAATGGATGCCCAGTGTGAAAGAACTGATCCCTTTTTTATAAAAAAAAAACAACAGAACGACAGGCTATTGACAAGACTTGAAAATTGAGCAATCCCACAACCTCGGTGTTGACTGTGAGAGAAGAGGAAAGCTTTGGATCATCTCTAGGCTGGTTAAGCTTGCAATTGCAGCTCTTTTCAGTTCACGTTAACAGGAAATTATGAGTTGATCTGGAAGAAGTGTTTGGCTCTGCAGAACCAGCTTTTGGCGGGGTGTGGCATTAGGCTTGCATGTGAAGGACAGTTTAGTAATTTGTTGGGACATGAACTGTTTTGAGGGAGAACTTATTCCTGCTGTTTTATCATCAGGGCTCCATTAAGCAGACTTTGACTCAGAGAATGATCAGGATGAGCGATTATTCTACAGCTTAGCTTTCCACATTTATTAAAACCATACACAGGCAGATAGATAGATAGATAGATAGATAGATAGATAGATAGATTTCTGTAGAAATCTATAAAACCATGATATAATATTTCGTATAAAGACATGTTTTACCATTCATTTTAAAATATTAAATAATATCAATAATACGATGCGTAGTCACGAGCAGAAAGCCATTTGCACCTGCGCAATACACCAACCACTCTCCATTTGTTACGGAATTCAGTGATGGGTCATTATATCGTTCCCATGCTCAAGGGCTCGCCATGGGCAATCTAGGTTTTCCACTTGTAAACAATGGCATGTCATTCCCAGCCATGTGCCCCAGAGGAGCCTTAAAGTACTCATGTGACTCTGTGATTTCTGTCTCAGTATTAGGACTACGAGGTGGCAGGAACCTTGATCGCTTACAGAGGACTTATTATCAGGGGGGCGTTCTTGCGGGTGAGGATGAAGATAGCTATGTTTTGTAGTGTGCTGTACTGTTTTGTGTGTCCGATGCCTGTCAGTGCTTTTGTGGGGGGGGGGGGGATGTCATCAGCAAAAAACACACAAAATGTCTAAAATTCCTAGAGCCTGTCAGACCAAATAATAAACAGTAGTGAAGTGCATCTGTGGCTTAGAGGAGGGGCAGTCTGTGTGTGTACCTGTTTGTGGATGGTGTTTGGCATGAGGGCATTTTAGCTGTTTAACCATCAGGCATCCAGTATTTGGAAAACAACACACATATTTCAAAAGTAGTTTCTGTAGCTGTCTCTTGTATAGTTTTCTACAGCTGACACTGGTTTTCTCAGTCGTGCAGAGCGGCAAACACACTCTTCCACGTGATTACGTACAAGAAAGCACAGATTCTCTTTTGCACAGAAAGGATTACGATGATTATAGCTTATGCACACACACAGGAAATAAAACAAATTCTCTTGTACAACCAGAATATTTTTTCTTTCTTTTGTACTGTTTTACTGTTCAGCTAACCAATGTCCCCCCACCCCACCCGCAGGGCCTGTCACTCTACCCAAAGGCAACGCTCTGGGTCTTCCTTTCCAGAAAGAGTCCCTGCTTGGCATGGTATCAAACCCAACAGAGGTGTTCTGCTCCGTACCAGGCCGTCTTTCCCTGCTGAGCTCCACATCCAAATACAAGGTTACCGTGGCTGAGGTCCAGAGACGTCTGTCACCCCCTGAGTGCCTCAACGCATCGCTCCTGGGAGGGGTTTTACGCAGGTCAGGGTTTTACGCTCAGACTCATTCAGGATGACAGCAGTGTGGATTTAATGGTATTTTCCTGTTAAAAGTCTTGAACATAACACAGAAACACAGTGGCACTGATTCAAAAAAGATTAAGGGGATCAAACCCAAACATAATTAATTTCCTTGTTTTTATCTATATCTCTGCAAGCTGTTGATAAGGTTGTTTGATTGTCTCAGATATGAATAATTATCAAAGTGAGGAGTTCCAGCTCTGATCTGTAGACTAAAGCTCAGCAGCCCATGGGAAAGGCTTTTCTAAAACACAGCGTTGCTCAGTTGCTCTGGCTCATCAGTTTTTTGCATAAGGTTCGTGACATTCTTTGTGTGGTCTGCAATTTTGGTTCTCTGCGTCCTCTGGGGATTGGTCACATCAACACAGTTAGTACCAATCTAAAGACTCTGGGTGCGTTTTTGTGTGTTTATCAGGGGTTGCAGCATGGGTAGGTTTGTCTGTGGCAGAGCAGTTGACCTTATTGCACATATGTTAGTGTGGCAGTCTGTTGAGGGACTGTGAGGTTACAGTATGTACTCAGCATCCCTGACCGGAGCATTTTGTGCTCGGAGTGCACGTTTGCCACTTCCCATGTGCCTGTGATAATGCTGACATGCACACACACACACAAACACACACACTAACACACACATGCACAATCACATATATTTTTAAGTAGGTCATATAGCAATAGGAGGGGGATCGTTAGCAGAGTAGCAAGGAGACGAAGGGGTGGGGGTACTCATACAGACATGCCTCCCTAAAGATGCTCCCTCTCTCACCCACCATGGAGTGGGAGAGCTTACCCGCCAGTCATGCGGAAAACTGAGTCGGCCATGGCAAGTGGGGAGTTTAAGTGTTTCTGCAAACGTGTGTACGCGGGATTTCTCTGCGACGCTTTTTGAGTGGAGTGGCAGTTTTGTCAGTGTTTTTTTGGGTCAGAAGAGCCTGTTTGTGTGTTTTATTTGTTATCCTTGTGCACTATGAGACCTTCTGCAGGAGTGAGTGCAAGGCTTGCTCTGACAGCATATTTCTACACTATGCTCTGCAATCTCTTGATCTTAGGTTAAAGCACAAAAATCACGCAACTCTATTCTGTTTGTTCCTCCTAATTTATGGGTTAAATGTCCTTTAGCAGACACTAGTCGAAGGAAAATAATCATGATAATGTGTAAAGAGATTGGCAAATGCCATATTTATTTCTTAATCCTTCATAAACAGTTTTTAACATGTTGTGCTAGAAAAGGTGTAATCTTGCATTATCTGGCTGGATTACTTCATAGCTTAATATGTGTTTTTTGTTCTCCTTCTGCAGAGCCAAGTCAAAAAATGGAGGTCGCTCTCTAAGAGAAAAGCTTGATAAGATTGGGCTCAACCTGCCTGCAGGAAGAAGGAAGGCAGCCAATGTCACTCTACTTACCTCACTAGTAGAAGGTATGACATGTCAGTGTTTCATAGCACTTTCTCAGTTATAATTGTTGTTTGCAGCAGCTGGAATGTCGCTTTCAGAGTGTGGGAACGTCAATCTCATTAGGAACTGTACAGTATCATAAATGATTCTCCAAACACCATTCATTGCTTAAATACTCCATTATATGAATAAAATGTCAATGATGCAAAGTTTTGTTTGACAAAGAACTTTGTATCATTTACCAGCTTTCAGTTGCACGTTACTTGCCCTTTGGCTCCCATAGTGATTCTGTCCGTTTAGCCAAAATCAGAGTGACTGAGCTGATGTTTAAATGCAAGCTGGTTGTCCTCAGTCTTGAGCTATCAATATAAATATATATTTATAAATGTATACACAGGCACAGACACACAAACACAATATAATCCTTTTTACTAGTCTTTGATATTTTTTAGGTTACTGAGTGTCTACATAACACTAATGGAGTAGCAGAACAGCTCAAAAACACATTTCAGCACCAGTTTTATCACTGGTTTTTTTTTTTTTTTTTTTTTTTTACAATTTTAGTGTTTGTATTATACTGGACACAGTAAGCAGTAACATGGCCACAGTCCTTCTGTAATATACTGCCAGGGAGACCTTCATCTTCACTTGTCAATGTCTTGAATACTAAAACAACATCCTCAGTTGTACCTTACCCAGAGAGTGATGCTTCTCCATGAACACGTTATCACTTTAATCACATCTACCTGCCGCTGGCTAAGGTAGAATATTTTTTCCTCTCTTTCTCCCTACACGCCTAATTTTCATAAATGGGCTGATGATTCTGAGCAGGAGAATGACTTGAGGCTTGTGTTATTTAGAGACCTTCAAAGCTGAATTAAGCCTTGTTATCTTGTGTGCAGCTCGCCAGGAGGGCCTACTGACCTTAAAGCTTGTGCTTCTGAATAGCTGCCCGTGTCCTCAAGTGATGTGCGTATCTATCAATAAGTGGTACTGTTGGTGCCTTGGGCACTCTCTGCTAGCATTTATCCACATAAGCCCATTATGACCATGCAAGTCAAACCACCCTCAAGACGGAAATATATTCATCTCACTAGCTCTTGTTCCCCCAAGCTATAAGACTGGGCACAGCTGATTATTCTGTAGTTCAAATGCTTCACTTCGTGTGCCTTGATGCTTAATGCGTGTATCAGGTCCAAAACGGAGCTGCTAGCATAATGCTATAAATTGATAAATTGCTGAGGCCGGCCAGCTTACCATTTGATCTTTGCCCAGTCAGTGATATCCAGTGATAATGCCTGTGTAAACAAAAATCTTTATTCTTTCATGAATTTCATCTGGAATTGAGACCAATAGCCAAGTGTCAACTTCAGTGCTGTCTTGTACTTGGGTTTAGAGGTGACGTGTTCTTTTCTCTTACAAGGATTGTTTTCTTCTTCTTCTCTTAGGTGAAGCTGTTCATTTAGCAAGAGACTTTGGTTACGTGTGTGAGACAGAGTTCCCTGCAAAGGCAATTGCTGAATACCTGGGCAGGCCGCATGTGGAACGCAACGAAGTTAACTCTCGCAAGAACATGCTCCTTGCTGCCAAGTAAGTCTCTTGTCTGGATGGTTGCCTGTAATTTGTAAAGAAATACACCTCTAGCAAAGCGGCATGTAGCTAGCTGACATCTTTTGTGGGTATCAGTATTCATTGATTCCTGGATGATATTGCAGATTGGATTTCCTGCAAACTTTGTTCTCAGATCCCAATGAAACAGATTCCTAAATCATTTTGGTTTTCTACCTTCAGGCAAATCTGCAAGGAGTTCACAGACTTGCTTACTCAGGACCGTTCACCTCTGGGAAACTCGCGGCCGGCCCCCATCATGGAGCCTGGAATCCAGGGCTGCCTGACCCACTTCAGCCTCATCACTCATGGCTTTGGCTCTCCAGCCATCTGCGCCGCCATGACCTCACTTCAGAACTACCTGAACGAGGCGCTCAAACAAGTGGACAAGATGTACCTTACCTCTGGTAGTGACACCCAGGGGTCCTCAGACAGTGGAAGCAAATCTACCGACAAAATGGACAAGCACAGGAAATGAGAACTCAAAGCAGAATCCTTATGAACTTGAGAACCCCTGAGTCCCTTAATCTTACTGCCCTGTCTGCCCTTTTTGGACTTATAAAAATCAATATTGATTGCTAAGTATTGTCATTTTGAGAGCTGAATTTGTGTGTATGTGTGCGTGTGTACTTTTTGTTGAATTTATATCAGATTTTTTGAGAAGTAAATGATTTCTCAGAACTTGTCACAGCTGGCCGCAGAGCAGTCTGTGTTGGCACATACGGTGAACTTGTCCTAACGGGAGCCCACGTTGCGAGGACGTGATGCACACCATATCGTACTAACCACTTTGCAGTTCCACACAGTTGCCAGTGTGCTGGCTACAACCATGGGACCTGTACTCAGTTGACAAGAGGAGGAAAAGAACAAAGTGCATACTGTTTTTCTCTCCCCAGAGGACATCATTTCAAGATGATGAAGAGTTGCTGTGGCTGTGAATTCCTCTCAGCCCCCCTCCGCGCTCTGTCTGGAGGCAAATCCACTGATTTCCTGTGTCTCAATGGACTTGCAAAGGACAACTTTTTATATGAGAAAGAAGGAGAAGAAAATCCACTTCATATTTTTGTGCTTGATTTGTACAACCACTTCAAAATGGCTCCAGTGTTATTGTGCTTTGTTCATGAGAGATGATTTGAATCTTATGTAGGCCTGAATGAGACAAGACAATTTTGGGTTTGTTATTCTGTGTGGTTCTGAAACCAGCCTCTTCAGTGTTCATGTGGATTACAGCAATGCTTCTGTTGTTACTCCATCTTTTAAACCTGGCAGCGAGAACAAGTTATTTTTGTGTTAGGTATTCATCATTCTTAGTATTTAAAAACCCCAGGTCACCATCAACCTACCAACCAGTTCAGTCCTGCCAGAGTGTATGTATGTTGTGAGAATGTGTGTAAATGTATATAATTCATTCTTTAAAAATGTTTTTAATTAGACATTAAATTCCAAACATAGAATTTTATCCAGTGTCTTGTCCTGGATGTAAATATTTTCTAATTTATGTTGTAATTTAATGGGCTTGTGTAAATAGTGGTATCATTCTGGTGTATGGTTTCACTTTTTATGATGATGTGTTAAACTTTTATAAATGGGTTAGTTTTTTATCGCGTAGAGGTTAGGAAGTGGGCATGATATACTTTTTTGAAAATATGTAAAAGAAAACTGTTTCAGGAAAAATAAAAAATGAAATGAAAGACTGAAACCTGATTCAGTGAGTCAATGATGTTGCCTAGGCCACACAAACACAAATGTACACACACAGTTTTTTTGTGCACTATTGTGCTGTAGCCTTCTTTTCAGCAGCATTTCACAGACGATGGTTAAGTCATGTGTTGGAAGATGTTCCTATTAATAAACAGCTAACAGAAAAAAAATCTCAAAGTAATGGGAACAGTAGCCATCATTATCTGCTTCCATAGCTTCACAAATAAGCTGTATGGCTCAGTAAAGGCTTGCAATGCACAGCTGAGAGCAGACAAATGGCTTGTTTATGTTTAAACCTATTATTGACACATACTGAGTAGATAGTTCCTGGAGTCCATCTCTTAACATCCTCTTAACTTAACGTCCTGAGCTTGCTGTAGTGTGTCTCCTGCTTGTGGATATTTCCTCTTTCCTGTGTTTGAAGCAGGTTTGCTACCATGTGAAGCCTTATTCTGCCTTTAGTTTAAAGGTGTAATGTGGTTTTACACTGCATGTTACAAATCTTCAGTAGCAGAAGAAGTACTGAGAACTGTTACTTAAGTAAACGTAGAAACACCACTGTGTAAAGTGCTAAAACATACAAGTATTAGCATCAACATATGCTTAAAGTACCAAAAGTAAAATTACTTATCATGCAGAATGGCTAATTTCAGAATAATATTTTATATCAATGGATTATAATTATTGATGCATTAATCTGTTGATCAGTGATGTTGCAGCTGGTAAAGGTGGAGTTGGGTAACGATTCTTGTTAATACATAAAGATTTATTAGTTGATTATATTTTATATTAATTGTCTGCAAAAAAACTGTATAACTAAAATGTAGTAAAAAAAAAGTGTAGTAAAAAGTACAATATTGGCTTCCAAAATGTAGTGGAGTAGAAGTAGCATAGCAGCATAAAATGGAAATATACAAGTAAAACACATGTACCAGTACTTCAAAAAATTTTAGTAGAATTCTTGAGTAAATATACTTCTACCAGTGCAATTCCTTTGATGTCTGAGAAAAAGAAGTGGCACAAATTTGCAGATGGGATTTACGTGTGGCGCAAGGTTGCTTAATCATCACTTGCCTAGCCAATCCCTGCTGATTCACCTTGTCTGTGCAATTATTTGTTTCAGGAGCTTGCTGCTAATTGTCTGAGCCGAAGCAACTCCATACCAGTGCCAATTGAAACACACAGCTGGATTTATGAGTAGTATCAACTTTATTTGTATATAGTATATATATCTGCACGTGTTGCACCGACATTTCTCTTCATATGCGCTGCATTAGGCATATATCCTGCTTTGGAGGTCAGTAGGTGAAACCAGTGTTTCGCAATGACCAGGCTACATGTTAGAGAGCAGCAGCAGCAGCAGAAGCAGCAGCAGCAGTGTGCCATACCTAGCAGTTAAACAAGTATCAGCCTCTCCCCTCAGAACCTGTTTAACCAGACCTGTCAACCTGGTGGCTTACTGCTCTCACAGCGGTTGACTTTAACTGCCTTCAGTTACTCGTGTTAGCTCGTAAGCTTGGCCCTGAGAGAGTAGATAATTAGAGGAGGAGGAGGTGGTGGTATAAAAGGAGAGGGAGGTATTGGTGAAGGGTGGCAGAGGGAGAAAGAGGAGGTGGATTTTGGGTGGCTTTGATGACCGGTTGAACACGGTTGAGAAAACACCTCGCTGTGTCTGAGGCTTTGATTAGATATTTTTCATCCGGTCGCCTCTCTCTCGGCTCTCTTTCATGTTGTCACTCTGTCAGAGTATTCACATCGCAGGGCATTTGTTTTGGTAGCTGTGAGCAACGAAACAAACTCATGTCCCATTCACTTTCCTCACCTTGAGCAAATGTGTTGAGTTAGACCTTGTCAGATGAGTATCTGAAGCTGGACACAGATAACCGTCATTTTTTGAGCATTCCCAAATGACGTATCAGCTAAAGTAAACCAGGTATACAAGAACAGTTAAACATTTACAAGGTGATTATTAAACATCTATATCCTACCAGAAAAATATCATGTTTTTAATCAGACCACAGTGCACCTGTTTAATATGTGTCATTCCTTATCACATGTTTTCCAGAACACAACATGGTAATTGGTCAAACATTTTCCTGTGAGACAGCATGAGTAATTCACCTCTGACACGCCTAATAAAGCTGGGAAAAGGAGGCGAGCGTAGACTTGTTGAGCTTACCTGTTACCTTCCTTTCTTCTTCCTTAATGAAAAAAAAAGAAACCCATATACTTCTTTTATTGTCAGAGATTATATCGGACATGCAAATATAATCTTTTGATGTCATCAGGATGCCCAGGGCTACTTGTCAACTCCAGATTCACTGAACTGTAGTCGTTTTTCATGCCAGCTCTGACTGAATGACCTTTCTATGTAGGTCACGGCAAGTCACATGACAAAGCTGTCAGGAAAGTAGAAACTTGATCTTTATTTTATTTATTTAAACTCTCATTCAAATACACTGGATAAAATTATCTTCTTTTCATTTTTGATTACTTTTAACACTGAAATGACAGCGGTTCAATGGCAATCAGCTTTTCAAAAGTAAAAGTCAGAGGGAGGAACATCAAGACAGAAAAAGTAATAAAAAAAAGTAATCAGTTTCTCATAACAATCTGAAAATATATATTTAGAAATATATATTAACTTCCCCCCACTGACAGTTACAAATTTCATAGTATTTGGCCACCATGTTCCCAGATACTTAGCACTTTACTTTCACCCCTTCCATTTAGTCCAACCACTTCCCTTCTACAACTGCCTTTGAAATCTGTTGTACATTAAGGTTCATTTGCAGTCAGACTAATCGCTTGGTTGAAGTTCCCAACCACTGAAACCACTTTATGAGTTAAACCATGGTCTTAACATCCCACGTCACAAGCGACAAGTCATACTGATGACAGCAGATTCTCATGTGTAAATCAGAAGTCGAGGTCAAGTCATTTCCAGCTCAGTAAACACGAGAAGCAAATGATCGCTTGAATTCAAAATATGTGCCGGTCAATTGGAAAGGAAAAAATTAGCAATATGAATCTGCACACGATGAATAACGCCCTTACAAACTCATCAAAATGTTCTTGTTCATCGTCACCTTAATTCATTGACGGCTGGTGTGAAAAAAAGTGGATGGTGACTCCATTTGAAGGCATTTGGCTGTTAATCTAGCAAGCAAGAAAACTTTATTATAATTTAACCAAAAATATCTGTGTGAATACTTACATTAATGGTCTCTCTGGAAAGAAAATACTTTCTTACGTGATTTAGGCAAGATTAAAAATGAAATGCATTTCTTGTTTTATTCCTCATATTTCATGATTTAACAACTGTTGTTGTTGTTTTTCTCTGACAGTTGCCACAGACACAACAGAAATGTCCAAAAAGACAATAAACAAAACTTACTAACTAACTACACTTTTTGGTAAAATGGCTTTCATCGTTTTTTGTTTGTGAAAACATGTCTGTGTTTTAGGAAGGGGACATTTTTTTGTGGCAGATTTTATTCATCAAGTTTGGGACACAGTTCTTTGTTTACAATGTGATAATATATTCAAGAAGTTGCGTTCTTGTTTCACTGTTCAACAGTATTTTGGTGTGTTATAAGGCCTTGTGGTCTGTGCACCTACATGACACAATACATAATGCACAGTAACTAACTTACTAACAATATAGCACTTTTCAAAGCGGAAGTTACAAAGTACTTTTCAGGAAGAATACAATGGGAAAGGCGGAGATAAAAGAGACAATATATAAAAAGAAGCAGAATTCGGTGCAACTTATCGAACTAAGTGAAAGCCAAAGAAAACAAAGCTTTTGGCTTCTCTGAGACATCTTCTTCAGGCCAACAGTTGGTGTTATCTGCACGACAAGGAATGCAATACAGGGTAATTGGCAGTTTGTCAGAAAAAGGAGCATGCACCAAAGAATGAG